TCATCCTGCTAGCGCTCGCTGGTCTTCTGGTAGAGATGATGTCGCCACATGTGAAGGGATCGATATCTCTGGGGGAAATGGTCGGTTCTGTAATCGAGGATGTGGGGATATTTGGTATGCACGCGACAGTTTGCTTTCTTATCATCCCAGCTCTCGTTCTTAGTCTTTGGAGGGAGTGCTAGGCGGACAGGAACGCACCATCGCAGTTCTGTTGAGGTATATTTATACCTCCCCCTTTTGCTTTGCTGCCCTGTATCTGTGAGCCGTATGATATTTCTCAATTATAATCTGCATAATTTGTGTAGCCTCTTAATAGCACGAAAACAGTCAGTGTTGTTAGTTTGCCATCATTTATCTTATCTTAGTGACTATTGGTGTTGATATTTCTTAAGATTGTTCCATATAAAACCAATGATCATTTTGCTATTTCCTCTGGTCATTGCCTATTAGCATTCACGATGAAATTGGGATTGACATCGATCTTAAATTGTGCAAGGTGACAATTGTTGCAGTTCTACACTTCTACTGTATGCCTTTGTTACGAAGTGATGACCATTATTCATTAAAATGATCGATATTCCACATATTAGAAAAGAAGTAATATTAACTGTTTATGCTCCATGGTCCCCTGTGATCGTTGTATCATTGCAGCGAGTGACATTATAACATTGTTTGCATGCTTCGAAACTGCTTGCAAGCACCTTCTTTGAGAATTCTTGTCAGTGATAATTTCCCCCATTGAAACCAATGGGAAGACCCAAAGTTTACAAGTCTTGGCTATGGCATATGAGTCTACTCTTCTTAGCTGCATTTGGCAATTATGGCTTTGTGGCACGTTTCTTGACTCTGGTAAAAAGAAGTAAACTATTTGATCATGTAAATAAATAGCATGACGCTAAAATGGCACACCTCTAGTCCTTTTAACAATGACAAACTTTTATGTGCCGCTATGCCCACTACATTTTAGTAGAATTGCCATTGTGCCTTTGTCCGCTGTTCTGTGACTCGGTTTAGTGCTTTTATACTTTAATAATAGAAAGTAAACGGTTTGATCATGTACATAAATAACATGACAGTAAGTGTATGCACATGTAGTACTTTAAGGTGGTGCTATGCCACTACATTTTGGTAGACGTCTCTTTGAGAACAGTTGATATCTGATGTTAGAAGTTCATCTCATCAGTTGTGTGTTTGTTAGCACTACCAATTAAAAGGACGAGAAAGATTCGAATTATGTAATATCTCACAAAGTCACAAGATAGAAATTACTTTGTAAACTAATATAAGCCTTTTTATATCACTAAAGTAGTGATAGTGGTCTAAAATGTCTTATATTAGTTTACAGAGGCAGTACTTCATTGCTGAAAAATGAGTGGCACTGCCTTTAGATTTATACTACTTGAAACTAAACTGTTGGATGGTTAATGTTGATATGACAATGTTCTTATATGTGGTGATCTGATCAAATTCTGGTTTGGGTTATTGGCAGATGAAGCTAAGAAGAGAAGGTGTCCGGAGAATTTTGCAAGGAGCTACAGTACCCATTCAGCTGATGGTTGTGAGTGATCCCAACAGATACAAGTTTTCAGTGGAAAAACAGAGTTTTTGCAGACTTGTTTCTTTCTGCTAGTAGATCCTAATCGTCTATAGCCGTGAAAACTTTTGTAGACGTGCTTCTTTCTGCTATTACCAGATCCTAATCTTCAATAGCCATGAAGTTTCTTGGGTCATTATGAGTCTGGTAGTGATATTCGGTACTCCTCTGCGCTACTCGCTTACAAGATTGCACTAGAGTATTGGTGTATATATGATGGTGGAATTCGTTCGTGATCTCTTTGTAATACCCTATTGGAAGAAAATGCTTCCATGAGACATTATTCTTGTGAATTCACTGCCATCGGTTTGCGCTCTTGTGTGTTTTATGCATGATAGTAACGTTCTGCAGGTGGGTTATGTATGTGTTGCCATTTTGAATATCCTTGTGGTTATCTACTGCCATCGTGGTCGGTGTATGTTGCCTCTACCTGCTGGCATGCTTGTACTGTAGTGGCTGCTGAACTTCATTACATTTAGTGGTACGTCTAGAGGTACAAATTTGTATTCTTGTTGAAATTTGGTAAAAAAAAATTGCGGCGAATCTATGTATGTGTATTGGTGTATGTTCCAGAGACGCGAGTCAAGGAAACCATGCATCAAGAGTGCACACAAAGGAACGCTAGACATGGAGATGGGAGCAAAAACACCACCATCACAACGTTTGGGGTAGGTATTTAACACATAGCATCAATCCAACAATTTGCTTGATCTAACGGTGATTCTGATCGGTGGGACCTGTTTATCACGCCCATAATACAAATCATAATAACCAATGAAGACCTAATTAAGTGCTAGACAATATATTAAGCATGACCCTCTCACTCCTTCAAGTGAATGGTTCCACATTAAGAACCAAAATTTCACGGTATATTTAATGTAGGCATAGTTATATTTGCATATTCACAAAATAACAAGCCTTACAAAAGGAAAATTCTGAATTTTGTTTATATTGGTCTAACAAACTAAAAAATGAGGGAGTACCTCGAAACCAAACAACAAAGACAACCCTGACACCAACCGAGGAGTCGGGGTGCCGGGGAGCACCCTCGCTGACCCCCTTTGGTCCGTCATCGAAGGGGTCCAACAACATGACCCTAAGCTCGGTGTCCTGCCTTGAACTAGCACAGTGAATGTCAAACCTCAGGAGTCTCCATGGTCCATCGCATAATACTTCGACCCTATCTATAGAACGATATTGCTCACTTGTAAAATCTATTTTCTTGTTAAGGACAATCAAAGCTCCTCTCAACTAACTTTTGACTCTTAATATGTAATTTGAACTCATTCAACTTCAATTTCAGAATCGCCGTTTTTTGGTGAAATTAGAAGCCTACATTAATTCATAAGAAGTGATTGCAATCCCTAGATATGGGGGGGTTACAACAACACCCCATATTACACATGCCACCCAACTATGTAGGGAGAGGGCACGTAGAGGACCACACATCGAGCGAACGTTCCTCCACCTCGAAGCTTCGCCGCCGCCGAGCAGGACTCACTACCAAGCACCAATGATGGGAATGATAGCGGCAATGCGAAAGAGGGCAAATCCATATTTGCCTACTAGCCTCTTGAAACAGAGGATCAAAAGCTCACCGATGCTCGAGGGACAGTCAAGTTAATACAGATGTGGTCTTTGTGACTGAGACGGAAGCGGTCGCTGCAAGAGCTACCGCCAGAGGGCAGAGACCACCGCGGCCTTGTTGTTGTTTCCGCCTGCAGGAAGCTGCCTCCCAGTGTCAGCGTAGAAAGAGGTAGAGGCTCGAGCGGCCCTGGTCAGATTGCAGGAACTGGCTGGGGTGTATACCGGCATAACCAAATGATTTTGAAAGAACCGGAGGCACAGAACTCCATGCGGTCTCCCTATTATGGCCCAATCATGGACATCAAGCATGCATTGGGTGCCTTCTCTTCATGCAAGATCGGCTACGTGAAGCGATGCAACAACACCCTGGCTCATGAGCTAGCTACACTGAACAGGAGGTGTGGAGATCAACTGCTTACTGCCGATGTGCCAACTTGCCTCAGAACTTTGATGATGTCAGAGTGTACTAGAGTAGCTTTGCTACTCTAGATCTAAAAAAAAAAGCTCACTGATGCCATAGATCTTGTTGAACTGCATGCACTGACGAGAGAGAAGTCCCTAGAACGGGCGGTGGCCTCCCTGTGGAAGATGAAGCAACGCCGAGAGCCTCCATGTCGAGGATTTGCACCCAAAGATCGCAAGGTAGGCCTCCAATGTAGGAGGATGAGAAGGGTGGTTGACTCTATGTACGTAGGATGTCGGCGAAAATTTCCCTCAAGCAGGAGCGAAAGAAAAGAAAAGATACAACCCCCAACTCAAGCAAAGAAATTCACAAACCATGAAAGAAATGACATGTGCTGGTTTTAAAGGAGTCTGTTTCAGTCTCCAAGACGCCAAAAGTGAAGCACAAGATCTTTGGGTTATCTGATATTTATGCATCTTTCAAAAATTGATGGTGGACAAACTGGCAGGAGAACAAAAACAGAGGAAAGGAGATTGATCCAGAGAAAGCCATGGCACCTCCATCACTGATGGCTTCGCACCACTGCGGTATCAAGCTTGGCAAATGAGAGAAAATGCCATGAGAAGGCTCTAGAAAGTAGGGGATGTTATTTAGGCTGAAATAATCGAGCTAACCATGGCATAGACACCACTCGACACAAGAGCGGCGATGCCAAGGATAACCATGACTTGCTCCTGGATCCTCTAATCTGACGGTAAGCACCCATATCTAGCCATCAAGGATGTGTGGAGGAACTACCCTACTGTTACTACTACCAGAGATCTGCAGAAATCTACCAGAAGGGACCCCTCACCCGGCTCGCCGCCAACGATGGCCAGAGGGAGAGTCGAGGAGCCGGAGGAGAAGAAGCATGAAGGGGCTAGGAGAGAGAGAGAGAGAGAGAGAGGAGGGATCAAGGCACTGGAAAGGGGGGTGGGATCAGAAAAGTCAATATCTACCAAACTTCTAGCAGGAAATTACAAAAATAAACCGCAACTTTTTTCATTTCAAACTTACGAACACAACAGATCTGAATATTTTGCCCGTTGGCTTGACAGCGAGGAGACGATTGTAACTTTGGCAGGATCGATTCGGGCACACGCAGCCTTTCAGCACGCGGTTAGAACCCAAATCCACTTTAGATTACGGGTTAAGAAACAGAACCCGAAAGCCGAACAGCTGGCCGCAAAACCCCATCCCGTGTTCGTCGCTAATCCCCATTTCCCACAAACCCCCGTCCCCTCGCTGCGCAGCCCAACCCCCGTCACTAATCCCGTTCCCACAAACCCCCGTCCCCTCGCTGCGCCAACCCAACCACTCCGCGACTCCGCCCCAACGAGGCCGAGAAGCTTCCAGGAGCTAGGGTTTCCCGGACCGATGGCCGTCGCCGACGCGGCGCTGCCCTCGCCGCCGCCGCCGCCGCCGGCGCGGATCGCCGTCGTGGTGCTGGCGCTCGTGCACTTCGCCCTCGCCCCGATGCTGGCGCTCGGGCGCGTGCTCCGCGTCGCGGCGGGGGCCCTCCCCTACCTGGGCTGGGCCGTCGTGTGGATTCTCTCCGCGGCCTCGGCTGCGAAGGTCGTGGTGCGCCGCGCCTGGGGCGAGGGCTCCGCCTCCTTCCTGTTCCTCCAGACGCTCACGTACGGAGGTTTCACGGTCTTGGCCTGCGGCTTCCTTGTCTTGCTCGCGCTTGGCGTCCTGCTGCTGTGCGGCCTGTGCGTGGGCTACGTCATTGCAGCTGTACGTGGATCCCGTCATGAATTCAAAGAGGTACCGTGCAAATTAACTCCCTGTGACATTTATCCTGATCGAATTACAGCAGGACGTAGGCTAGTGGATGAGTAGCAGTAGTGTTTCCATTTGAGCTCACCACTTCATCTGCATCCTTCCATTTCCGAACCATCCCATGTGTACTCATGCCCATCCATGTGGTTTTCTTGAAATTGTTGTCCTCCTTAGCGCGCCTTGGGAGCAATCAAGCCGGACTCAGCTGCAGACTCGTTTAGTCTACCCCGCACTGCGGTGCTTGGACTCATGGCAGATGTTCCTTTCATCCTGCTAGTTATCGCTGGTCTTCTGTTAGCAGCGATGTCGCATATGGAGGGATCGGTATCTCAGGGAGAAATGGTTGGATTTGTAATCGTGGATGTGGGGATATTTGCTATGCACGCGATATCTTGCTCTGTTATCATTCCAGCTCTAGCACTTAGTGCCTGGAGGGAGGACCAGGCGGACAGGAAAGCACCATCGCAGTTTTGTTGAGGTATATACACATTTACCTCTTCCTCTCTTCTTTGAAAGATGCACATCAATTGAAAAGATCATATGGCTCACAGCACAGATACATTGAATCGTTTATCTTGTTTACTGCCTATGGAATCATTTATCTTAGTTCACTGCCTACTGGTGTTGATATTTGTTAAGATGGGAGTATTGTTGTGTATAAAACCAACGAAGAGTTTGCTATTTCCTCTAGTCATTGCATATTAGCATTCATGATAAAATTGAGATTGGCATCGATCTTAAATTGTGCGAGTAGCCAACTGATGCAGTTCTACTGTATGCTTCTATTATGAAGTGATGATAATAAAAATGATCGATTCCACATATTATAAAAAAGCTATATTAACTGCTTATGCTCCATCGTTCCGTGTGATCATTATATCTTTGCAGCGGGTGAGATTATAGTAATGCCCGCATGCTTCCAAACTGTTTGCAAGCACCTTTCTTGAGAGTTCTTGTCATTGATAATTTCTCCATTGAAACCAATGGAAGGATCCAAAGTTTTCAAGTTTTTGCTATTGCTTATGAGTCTAGTCTACTTAGCTGCATTTGGCAACTATGACTCTGTGCCATGTTCTGCGACTCTGGTAAAAAGAAGTAAACTGTCTTATCATGTAGAAATAAAATGACAGTAAAATGGGACACTTCTTGTCCTTTAACGGTCATCAACTTTTATGTTGCGCTATGCCACCACATTTTGGTAGAAGTGCCATCGTGCCATTGTCCCCTGTTCTTTTTGGCGGGAACTAGCAGGACCTCTGCTTTTGCATCAGCTAACATGAGTAAGAAGGAAGTAGTGTTTATCACCTAAAAGCTTACAGAGAAAGAAACAACAGCAGGGCCAAGAAAGCACACCCTCACTCAGCCAAAACACTGACACAACTCTATCCATCTCTCCGGGTAGTCCTGAAGGCCTCAACATCTTCTCTAATCAGGGACAACGCCACTGATGCATTCTCCGTTTTGTCCCCTGTTCTCTTACTCGGTTTAATGCCTTTATACTTCAATTAAAAGAAGTAGACTGTTTGATCATGTAAATAAATAACATGACAGTGAATGGACGCACAACTTGTACTTTAGGGTGGTACTACGCCGCTTTATTTTGGTAGCTGTGCCTTTGAGAAGAGTTAATTGCTGAGTTGCAACTTCATATTATCTGCCTTGTATCTGTTAGCACTACCAAATACCAATTGAAAGGACAAGAAATATTCAAATTCTATAATATCTCACAAGATAGAAGATACTTCATTGCTAGAAACCGAGTGACATTGCCTTTAGATTTACAGTAGTTGAAACTATACTATTGAATCCTTAATGTTGATATGACAATGTTCTTATATGTGGTAATCTGATCAAATTTTGGGTTGTGTTATTGGCAGGCGAAGCTAAGAAGAGATGGTGTCCGGAGAATTTTGCAAGGAGCTACAGTACCCGTTCTGCTGATGGTTGCGAGTGATCCCAACAGATGCAAGTTTTCAGAGGAAAAAGAAAAGTTTCTGCAGACTTCTTCGTACGGTTGTACTATTAGTAGACCGTACTCGTCATTAGCCATGAAAACTTTTGTAGACTTGCTTTTTTCTGCTATTACTAGATCCTAATCGTCAATAGCCATGAAGTTTGTTGGCTCATTATGGGTCCGGTCACGATATTCGATACTCCGCGTTACTCGCTTACAAGTTTACACTAGAGCATTGGTGTATATGATGGTAGAATTCGTCCATGCTATCTTTGTAATGCTACCCTGTTGGAAGAAAATTCTTCAATGAGACATTAATCCGGTGATGAATTGGTACGACTGATGTCGGTTTGCATTCTTATGTTGTGTGCATGGTAGTAACGTTCTGCAAGTGGTACAACCAGAGATACAAATACGCAATCAGTGTCGGATACTTGGTAAATAAATTTGCATTGAATATCTATGTTACAAAGACGACCGAGCTGAACCATTAAGAGGGTACACAAGACCGGTTTGTTCACCAATTTGTTATTCTGAATTTGACAACCGCAATGCATGGATAAAATGAAGAAGCCTTCGTTTAACTTTTATTCAGTTTGGTTTTCTGTTGAGCGATGACAGATTCTTTGCGCAAAATCTCTCAATGTAAGAAAAAAATAGCGTAAAAGCTACGGTCGAAAAATCGACTAGACAATTTTTTTCCCATTTTCTGTTTACAAGATTTGTTAACCTGAAAAAAAGATGTGTGCCCTTTTTCTTTCATTTTTTACTAAAAGTTCAGTCAACTGAATTTCGTTGTTGGAGCTCATCGCCAAAGCAACATGCCCTGTCCGTTCTCCGTTGTGGATGAGGTATCTGCTTGCCTTCGTTCTGAATTGTTGAAAACTTAATTTTGTTTTGTCGATGGTAATATGTGAAGCCCCTTCTTAGATATGCATGATGGACTGTGGTCCATAGCATCAATTTTTTCAGTACATTGCATTAAACTGCAACTGTATTTGTTTATCTGCTTATTGGGTGTGTTATCCTTATAGAAATTATTTTCCCTTCCAATCAAAATATATTTCCAGACGGAAAGATCTATCAGAAGTCTTAGTTTTTTTCCAGGGAAAACATCCAATCTATTCATCAGCAATCATGCATGGCAATTACAAGGAACATAAAAAATAATAAAAAATACAATCATATCTATATATCACCTAGCCACAATATTGTATACTCCATTCAAGTCGATTCTTCATGAAAATCCACCTAATCGAGCAATCACAATTGTTTGACACTAGTCTTGAAATTCAAAACCCTAACCGAAACTCGATTCTTATTATCTTGTTTGAAAGAAAATTCAGTAATAAATCTAAACATTTCACCCGGTGGCTTGAACAAGAAATTCGGTAATTCTTATCAAAAGATAAATTCGGTAGTTCTTATCGACAAAGAAATTCCGTAATTGCGCAAGATCGAATCGAGCACTCACCATTTCCACGTACCCAGTAAGAACCCGAATCCGCATCCGCTAGAAGTGAACCCGGAAGGGAAGCGGGACAGCTGGCCGCAAAACCCCCTCCCCTGTTCCTCGCTAATCCCCATTTCCCACAAACCCCTCGGCCCCTCGCTCCGCCAACCCAACCACTCCGGCTCCTCCCAGGGCGAGAAGCTTCCAGGAGCTAGGGTTTCCCGTGCCGGGATGGCCGTCGCCGACGCGGTGCTGCCCTCGCCGCCGCCGCCGCCGCAGCCCCCGCCGGCGCGGACCGTCGTCGTGCGCTTCGCCCTTGCCTGGATGCTGGCGCTCGGGCTCGTCCTCTGCGTCGCGGCGAAGGCCCTCGCCTGCCTGGGCTTCGCCACTGCGTGGGTCGCCTCCGCGGCCTCGGCTGCGAAGGTCGTGGCGCGCCGCGCCTGGGGCGAGGGCTCCGCTCCCTTCCTCTTCCTCCAGGCGCTCACGTACGGGGCTCTCAAGGTCTGCGTCTACAACTTCCTTGTGTTGCTCGCGCTTGTCGTCCTGCAGCTGTGCGCCCAGCGCGTGGCCTACGTGATTGCACCTGTATCTGGCTCCACTTCGGGATTCAAGAAGGTATCGTGCAAATTAACTCCCCGTGATTCCTCAAAAAAAAAAAAAAACTTCCCGTGATCTTTATTCCGGTCGAATTGCAGCAGTACATAGGCCAGTGTTATGATTATGTTCTAATTAGGCTGCCATAGTACATTATGCTAGTAATTAATTTCGTAGTTCAGGCTGTCCTGATGTGTAGCAGTAGTGGTAGTAGTTCAGGCCAGGGTTATCATTATGTTCTAATTAAGTTGCCATCTAATTAATTTCGTAGTTCAGGTTATCCTGAGCAGTAGTAGTAGTAGTAGTAGTTTTTTCCATGTGTGTTCATCACTTCATTTCCATCCTGCCATTTCCGAACCATTCCATATATAATGTTCATCCGTATGGTTTTGTTCAAATTGCTGTCCTCCTCAGAGCGCCTTAGGAGCAACCAGGCCGGTGTCCGTTGCACGCTTCTTTAGGCTTCTGCGGCCCATGGTGCTTGGATTTGTCGCATACGTGGCCTTTATCCTGCTAGTGGTTGCTGGTTTTCTGGTAGCAATGATGTCGCCACATGTGGAGGGATCGATGTCTCAGGGGGAAGTGGTTGGTTCGGTGATCATGGATGTGGGGATATTTGGTTCGCACGCGACAGCTTGCTTTGTTATGATGCCAGCTCTCGTTCTTAGTTTCTGGAGGGAGTACCAGGCAGACAGGAAAGCACCATCGCAGTTCTGTTGAGGTATATATATTTATGTCCCCCTTCGCTTTGCTCCCCTGTATCTCTGAGTCATATGATCTTTCTCAATTATAATGTGCATATTTTGTGTAGCCTCTTAATATCATGGAAACATCAGTGTTGTTAGTTCGCCACCATTTATCTTAACTTAGTGACTACTGGTGTTCATATTTGTTAAGATGGAGCATTGTTCTATATAAAACCAATGATGATTTTGCTATTTCCTCTGGTCATCGCATATTAGCATTCATGATAAAATTCGGACTGGCATCGATCTTAAATTGTGCAAGGTGCCAACTGATTCAGTTCTACACTTCTACTATATGCCTTTGTTATGAAGTGATGATCATAAAAATGATCGTTTCCATGTATTAGAAAAAAGGAATATTAATTGTTTACACTCCATGGTCCCCTGCAACCGTTTTATCTTTGCAGCGAGTGAGATTGTAACATTGTTTGAGAAAACTCCTGTCATTGATAATTTCCTCATTGAAACCAATGGGAGGACCCAATGTTTTCAAGCTTTGGCTATGGCATATGAGTCTACTCTTCTTAGCTGCATTTGGCAATTGTGACTGCCATGTTTCGTGACTGGTAAAAAGAAGTAAACTGTTTGATCATGTAAATAAATAACATGACGGTAAAATGTCACACTTCTAGTTCATTTAACATTTTTTTTGAAAGATCCAGACTTGCTGGCTTCTTAGCAGAAGAGATGTTACAAAAAGGTTGATCAAGTGATCGGATTATTCGGGAGGGTTAGCTTAGCACGTAGGCTCAGTGTTTCCCTCCCGAAAGAAAACGAGCAAAAGAGATATCTCACGTAATCTCCCCGAAAGGGGGCTCAATGCTGTGTGCTCCAGCGAGTCTCCATTGTTCCATATCTCTCCATCTAGTTCATTTAACATTTATCAACTTTTATGTGGCGCTATGCCCATTGTGGCTTTGTCCACTGGTCTGTGACACAGTTTAAAGCATGCTTTTATGCTGTAGTAAAAAAAGTAAACTGTTTGATCATGTAAATAAATAACATGACAGTAAATGGACGCACATCTAGTACTTTAAGGTGGTGCTATGCGCCTATGCCACTACATTTTGGCACACATGCCTTTCAGAACAGTTAATTTCTGGGGTTGCAAGTTCGTATCATCAGTTGTGTGTTTGTTAGCACTACCAATTGAAAGGACGAGAAATATTCGAATTCTGTACTATCTCACAAGATAGAAGTTACCTCATTGCTGGAAAATGAGTGACATGGCCTTTAGATTTACAGTACTTGAAATTATACTGTTTGATACCTGGATGGTTAATGACTTAATGTTGATATGACAATGTTCCTATATGTGGTAATCTGATCAAGTATTGGGTTGGGTTATTGGCAGGCGAAGCTAAGAACAGAAGGTGTCGGAAGAATTTTGCAAGGAGCTACTGTACCCATTCTGCTGATGGTTGGAGTGATCCCAACAGATACAAGTTTTCAGGTGAAAAAGAGTCTTTGCAGACTTGCTTGTTTCTATTAGTATATGCGCCGAATCGTCATTAGCCATGAAAAGTTTTGTAGACATGCTTATTTCTGCCAGTACTAGATTGTAATCGTCAATAGCCATGAGTTTGTTGGGGCATTATGGGCGTGGCGACAATAGCCGCGCGACTCCCTTACAAGTTTGCACTAGATTATTGGTGTATGATGGTGCAATTCGTTCATGCTCCCATTGTAATACCCTACTGGAAGAAAATGCTTCCATGAGACACTGATCTGGTGATGAATTGGTATCACTGCCACCGTCGGTCTCGGGTTCTTATGTTGTATGCTCGGTAACTTTTCGCAAGTGGGTTATGTATGTTTGGGTATATATCTTAGTGGTTAGTTAGGGGTGGTGATCTACTGTACTCCTTTTTTTTTGCGGGGTAATCTACTGTACTCCTGTATACATATATATGCGCCAAGTACTTGGCGTGTATATGGACGTGGATGGGCGGTGGCGTAACGATTACCAAAGATTTGAAAGGACACTTCATGGAACAGCCAGAATATATGACTATCAAAGCAAAGCTAGATACTCCTCTCAATGAACAGAGTAGACTGAGTACGCACAGGGCCAGTGACAGCGAACTGGTCTGTGGAAACTTTTCGTAGATGGGAGGCAAAGAAAAGGAAAAGACCGAACTGGTCATGCGGCCGGGGAAGCGAGTCGTACAGCCACCCATAACCACAAGTTATCCACTGATTCTTCAACATCAGTTGGTTCGGACCTCTACTTAGTTTCATCCAAGCTTCATCTTGGTCATGGATAGATCACCCAGATTTGGGTCCATAAGCAGTGACAATCGCCCTATTAAGACTTGCTTTCGCTATGGCTCCTGTGGGTTCTGTTCCCTTAACCAAGCCACTGCCTATGAGTCGTCGTCAGAGATCACTTTTCCCTCTCACTACCCACGGGGGGTTCTTTTCACCTTTTCCTCATGGTACTACTGTTCAGCACAGCAACACAGCAGATAAAACTAGGCCATGGTGCACTGCCATGTGATGTGCCCCGCCGTTCAGATTGGTGAAGTGTTTCAGGGTTGTGACTCTCCACTGGCGCGGATCACCTTCCGAGCGGCCAGGGAGCGGGACGCCATGGCTGTACCCTGAGCTGACGGGAGGGGCTTTGTCTCGCTTGCAGCGACTGCGAGCGTCCCCTCGCCTGAAGCGACTAGACCCAGTAGCGCACGCCCTTACTTTTTGTAGTTAGTTAGTTTGTTTATTAGGCTCTGCTAAAAAAAGTTACGTTTGTTAGACTAAAAAAAGTTTGTTTGCTTTTTTCCCCCTTTTATTTTTCCTTCATATTTCTAAATATTCTAAATATACATAGTGAAAACATTCAATTCACCATTTTTTCTAAAATGTTCATCTTGCGTAAAACATGTGTTCACACAACTTTTAGAAAATGTTGATAGAATTCAAAAAACGCGTTTCATAACATTTAAAATATGTTTATGCGTTTGTAAAAAATGCTCTTGACATTTTTAAAAAATGTAACTAAAAATCATGCGTTTCAAAAATATGTTCATCACATTTATGAAAAAAAAAACTGTTATACAATGTTAAAAAGTCCGTGTTTAAAGAACGTTGTGCATACAAAAGGTTTGTGACACATAAAAAAAAGCACGCGTTCAGGCACACGTCCGTGGAATTTTAAAACATATTTTACTTATTTAAATTTTAGGGTAAAAAGTGTTCAGGTAGTTTAGAAAAAAATATTTCATACCATTCAAAAAATCAAGGCATATTTGAATTTATTTTTTGTTTCTTTTAAAAAATGTATTTTGAAAAGTGTTCATCATGGATTTGAGAAATGTTTGACATGTATAAAAATATTTCACGTGTATAAGAAATATGTATAACATGTATTGAAAAATGTTGACATGTATTTGGAAAAAGGAAAAAGTAATAAATGAAAAAACCGAAGAAACTCACAGAAAACCAATGAACACCGATAAGAAAAACACAAAGAAAAAATGCAGTGAAGCTTCTAAAACCGGAATGAAGGGGCCCATAGAAGCTTCCCAAAATTGTTCTTCTCAGCTACCACTAATAGAAAACAGGGCTTTGGTATAAGCAGGGCAGGCCCATTAATCCCGGTTCACTCAAGAACCGGGACCCATGGGGGCATAGGTCCCAGTTTGTGAGGCCAGGATCGTGGGGCATTGGTCCCGATTCGTCAGGCCCCTTTGGTCCCGGTTACAGGCATGAATCAGGACCAATGGGCCTCGCTCCTGGCCCACCACAATTGGTCCCTGTTGGTGGCTTGAACCGGGACCAAAGGTTGTCCTTTAGTCCCGGTTCCAGCCACAAACCGGGACCAATGAGATGCCTATATATATCCCTTGCCCACGAGCAGAGCAGTGGAGTGCTCTGTTTTCTTTGGGAGAGGTGTGTTGTGCTCTAACTCACCTCCTATGCACATGAGGTGTTCGATGAAATGCCCGAGCCACACTTAAGCTTTCTCCTCTCGAAGCTCCTTGTCCAAACTCTATTTTCCTCAAGATTTGTCTAGGTTAGGTTGTCCGTCCTGTCCCGTCCCCATCCTCACCGCCTTCGATCGCCCGCGCCGATCTCATCGCCAGCATCACCATGGTGAGCCTCTTGTTTTTATCTTCTTTCTAAAAGAAAAAAGTTCTTACTTGTATGGTTTAGATAGATACTTGTGTAATTTTCTTACTTATTATTGTTTGTTATTATATAGTGCGATGGTTTTGGTATTCACCTCCGCCAGTCTTCGTCCTGTCTATGATTCAGATGTGGTATATAGTATCTTTTATAACTATTTGTTTTATTTAGTGTTTATGACAATTATGCCGAGCAAAATGACATAGATTTTTTTATCTAGGAGGTATGTGAACTGGAAATTTCAACCGACCCTATTGTCGAGAGGTTAAATTTAGTTGAAGAAGAAAACAATTACTCGAAGGAAAAATTGAAAAAAAAAATTGAGGAGGAGAAGATGATATTGGAGTTGCATGTTGCGGATGTCGTGATGATCACAAGATCAAGATGGATGCAATGCGCTTGAAGATTCGAAAGATTAGAAAATATGCCACTGATACTGAGGCTTGGTATCATTATGTCGTTGGATCAATTATTACCTTAGTTGTGCATTTGTTGTTGCATTGAAATGTTTTACTTAGTTTCAATGTATGGTATAATTAGATGCTCTAGAGAGCTATATGTTGTTCAATGAGAACTATGTATGTACTTTGGTTTTAATGTGATGATGAACTTCTATTAATTTGGTCACTTCTGTATTCGTGATGTTCTATAATGGTTTTTGACACACTTAATTATATATAATGCACGCAGATAAACCAGCAATAGATGTACGGTGATAGACGCACCTCCGAGTACATTAAGGGCGTGCATACTTTTCTCGGAGTGGCTGAGGCAAACAAGCAGAATGGTTTTATGTGTTGTCCATACTATATGTGGGAATACGGAGTCTTATTCTGATCGGAAAATCCT